TCCGGGCAAGGAGAGAACCCAGGTGTCCGGGCTCTGCTCCCCACGATGCCTCCGACTCCGGGCAAGGAGAGAACCCAGGCGTCCTGGCTCTGCCCCTCCCCCCCCCCCGATACCCCCCACTCCGGGCAAGGAGAGATCCCAGGCGTCCTGGCGCTCACCCCGTGTCTCCCCCAGGCCAGGATGACGGGCATGGCCGACAACCACCGGGAGAGCTGGGCGGGGCTGGTGGCGGAGGCCGAGCGGTACCGGCGCCGGACGGGGAACGAGGTGGTTCTGATCACGGCGTACCGGGCCCCGCAGCCGGGCGGCTTCGCCTACACCCAGCACGGCTGCGGGGCCCTGGGCGACGCCGCCCGCCGCTACCTGGAGGACATCGCCGTGGTCCACAAGACCACGGCTTTTACCTACGCCGCCCGGCCCCCGCCCGCTCCTCGGCCCCCCCCCAGCCCCTACTCCCGGAGCTGCCCCCCCCAGGACCCGCCCGCCGGCCCCCACTGGACAGCGGGCGCCCAGGGAGCCCCGGCCGAGGCCGCGGGGGGGCAGGAGGAAGAGGAGGAGGAAGAGGAGAAAAACGTGCCGGCGCCCAGGGAGATGGAGGCACCCGGGAAGCAGCAGCCCCCCAGCGACACCACGGGTGAGTCCGTGCCCCCGATGGGGGGTGTGTGTGGTCTCTATCCGTGCCCCACCCCAGAGGGGACGCATCTCAGTGCCAGGCAAAGGGATCTGTGCGCCCCACCCCAGAGGGGACGCATCTCGGTGCCAGGCGGAGGGATCTGTGCGCCCCACCCCAGAGGGGACGCATCTCGGTGCTACGCAAGGGGTCCCCGTATACCTAGCCCCTCACCCGAGGGGCTGCATCTCGGCACCAGGCAAGGGGACCTGTACACCCAGCCCCTGCGCCCCACCCCAGAGAGGGCCACTTCCCTGCACCGGGCAAGGGGTCCCCGGATACCCAGCCCCAGCGCCCCACCCCAGAGGTGGTCGCATCTCCTCACGGGCCCTTCTGCGGCTCCCCAGGTCTCTTTGTGATGGACGAGGACTCTCCCAGCCAGGACTACGAGCCCTTCTTCGATTCGGACCCGGAGAGCACTGACGGTAGGTTTGGGGTGGGGGTGTCATGGAGTCACCGGCCGGTGTCCGTAGAAGGCCAGGCAGGACTCGGGGGGAGCCTCCTCTCTCGGAGCAGACTGTCC